GTTTTACACGAATGCGTGTTGTCACATTTATAGTATCGCACCGGGAAGCCTTAAAGCCCGCAGAGGAACTGGGCCGAAAGGGGGACAGCCTCTCAAGCCTGGCAAGGAAAGAAAGAGAACGGGGGGCGCCCCTCCTCGGGTGAGAATCTTTGATCGGACCCCAATGCCCTGGAGAGAAAGGCGGAGAGCAAGAACGCGGCTACTGGAGGTAGCAGGTAGCTATGCAGAAGTTGGGAAAAATACTCCTCCTGGTCTGCTTAAAGTTTATGGAGCGATCGGTTCTCTCACGGTGGCCCTGCTCCCGCAGCTCCCAAAGCCAGGGATGGAACAGTTCTTGGAAGCGCTGGACTGTGTAGCCACGCGCTGAGCTGGATCGAGTGCCACCGGCTTTAGGAGCACATTTCAGCACTGCACCACAAGCTGACTCCGTTCTACCCAGGCCGAGAAGCGGGGTTGTGAAGTCAGCGAGGTCCACAAGGCACCGAGCGCTGAGCCTCCCGAACCTATCTGCAAAGCAAGACGAGTCAACTTGCACGGCTCAAGAAAGGATAGGTCACGTTTCTGTCAATTTTGACGAACCCGTGTAAATGCCTGTGCTCCGCTTCCCTTCACCTTGTGTTGTGTTGTTGCATCCAAAGAGGTGTACTCAAGGGAGCAATCCTGCTGCCGATCCACCACCGGTGCCCCCGACACCTCGCAGACCCCCCCCTCCAACATTTGTGGGAGAACTTGCTGTGGCTTGCGATGCGGGAGCCTGAGAGAATTGCAGGCGATAACCATCGCATTCCAGGAGGCTTCCACAAGTGTCCGAATCTCAGCTTGTTCTGCCAAGTCTTCGCACATCGCTGTTGAAGTTGACCTGCCGGCCCGACCCCTTATGTCGTGGTTCGTTGACTCTCACCCATAACAAGTCCCCCTTCTCTGGAACCCTGGCCTGGAGTTCACTGCTGAGTTCAGTATGTTCAGTAATTTCTTAATTGTTACCCGACCTTCGACCTTCCGGCTGAGTTCCTGAGCTCGGGCCCTCTCTATCGTCCTTTGTCCCTGTTGTGTAGGGCAGACGATCGAGATGAATAGTGAGCTTCGTTAACTCTTGGCATAGATCCTCGTGGTGCCTATGCTCTTTAGGCCCCAGCTCGGCCGCTAGAAGCAAACATGGAAGCCCGAACCGTGAGAAGTGACACATCCTGCCTTGTTCTTAGCGCCAAGCAGCTTTTTGAGCGCACGAATTGGCAATCAACATCTTAATTTATGTTGGCTATGGTTTTCTCCACGGTTACATCCCGCCGTCGGGAGTGATTCCTAACCTTTTTGATGCCCAGGGCGGCTGGGCCAGTGTATCTGTGTCTGCCGCTGAGAGATTTTGGTGCATTCAGAGTTCCGAGACAGGGTCGATCTACATGTGTCTGGCTCGAGTTGGCCTGCAGACTATACCCCCGAGACTTGCTTGACATCTTACTGGGCCTCGTGGCTTGGATTTAGTCGTGCCAGGCAGCCTGCTTGCTTTCCATCCTTTTTGCGTGCCCCTAGCTATTTTGGCTCGGGATAACGGATAACGCAATCCTGAGAAATTGGCTGCGCAGCCGATGTTTCGCTGCAACATGCTTCTTTGTATAGCTTGTGCCATGGCCGCTTTGACATGTCTGAGCGCAGAGTTCGTGTTCGTTCGTGAGGTGCAGTCTGGACTTTGCATGGAAGTGTCTGGCTCAGGAAATGTTGACAGTCCCTTACTTACGGCTGTTGGACTGTGAGTTCGGGGTCCAGAACTCGAAACAGGTGTGGAGCGTGTGGACCCAGCTCTGTGCAGACGTTTATTCATGGGGAATCGGTCTTTGGCCTTGCCGGTCTCCAGCCGATCCGTCGACAAGCCAAGTGTGGGAAGTAAATGGCGGAGTGGTTGTGAACACATATTGGGTGGGGCACGCGCTTAGCACCACATGCGAGAGGAGACATTCTCACAGTGCAGGATTGCCAGCCGCAGGCAAACCAGACCTGGGAGTTGGTACCTGCGTGTCAGCAGGCGGATGGCGTGTTCAGCCCATGCATCTCCTGCCGTCCTAGCTGTCGCGGCAATCAGTTCGTCCAAGGCGGAAACTGTGTGGATTGTCCTCAGGACGAGTTCTATGCAAACGGGCAGTGCGCAACATGTCCGGTTCATCAGTACTGGAGTTTGTCTCCAGGGACCTGTGCGGACTGCCCAGAGGCCCGCGTTCGCAAGGGTCGCAAGTCAGAGGCTTTTTTCATCAGAAATGTGCTCTCTGGCCTGTGCCTAGACATCTCTGGCAGAGATCCCATTGAATCCTATCTGAGTCTCGCCCTGTGGGATTGTGAGTTTAGTGTACCGGGCTCCGATCAGGTCTGGAGTTACCAAGAAGGTCTTGGTCTCATCACGAGCGTGAAGCACGCGACTTGCATTGAGCAGGTTGGTTCGGAAGGAGGTGTTGATGTCCGTCTCGGCGGTTGTGATATGCCGGAGGATCCCACCTCGGATCAAGTGTGGCTGTATGAGAACGGCTTCTTGGATCTTCTTGGTGGACCGCCTGTCACGCAAGTGCTTGGATGTCAAAGGAAATCCTGGCCGCTCTAGGGGCTTGGCTTTGGAGCTGTTAGACTGTGAGTTCGATCTGGAACCAGATCAGACAGATCAGCGCTGGGAGCTATTGACTGCATGTGAAGTGCAAGAAGGCGTCTTTAGCTATTGCGCCAGCCGGCCAAGCTGTTGAAGCACACAGTTCTTGCATGGTGCTGGGCTTTGCATGGACTGCCCTCCCGGCGAGTTTTGGGCAGATGGCCGCCAGTGCACGAAGTGCTTAGAGCGTCAGCACTGGAGCACTCAATCGGATGCTGTGCAGACTGCCCGGCCGGTGTTTCCAAGGAATTGGACCCACTGCGTCCCAGAGTCCACCATCTTCTATCTCCAGAACCCAAGGTCAGGGCTTTGTGCGCTGGTCTATGTGTCACAGGACTAATCTATCAGGATGGAGCAGTGTGGCCGGGAGAGCGAAGCTTGGTATTTCCGAAATGGGCAGATTCGGAGTGTCTCAAGCCAATTTTTGCTTGAATGTCAATGGTAACCCTGGCAAGGAGAACGGTCTTGGAACCTCAGCTTGGCATTGCGAGCCGTCACGAGCGTTTCACACAGATCAGGCGTGGCAGCTGAACGGCAGCCTCATCGTCCAGAAGTTGTCACGCAGATGTTTGACGGTCCGGGGAGGTCAGACCGAGAGCGGCACGCCGCTGGCTCTCTGTGACTGTGCAGAAGTGCAGGATGCAAGCCGGACCGGGCAGTATTGGCATTTCCTGCCTGCATGCGAAGACAAAGATGGCCCACCAGGTGTCTACAAGGTTTGCCCGAGCATTTCGTGTCCCGACACACAAATACCGGACTTCGATGTTGGTGTGTGTGTGGACTGCCCTTTGAACGCCTTCTCTCATGGGCTCCAGTGCAAAACGTGCTCCGGGCATCAGTACTGGAGCGTTGAAGAAGTGGCTTGCGCAAGCTGCCCAGACGGAATGGTCACCACAGAAGACAGGCTCAGCTGTGTGCGCCGAATCTTTCCGAACTGGGCTGGGCAGTGGTAGGCACATCCTTGGCTGCCTGCTCAATGCTTTTGGCAGCTTCGGGGCGTGTTTATATCTTTGTGCAGTCCAGACTCACGGCAGATTTTGCAGCGGCACCTGGTGCGCTTCTGAGCGTGGAAACTGTTAAGGAGGAGTATTCTCCGGATGCTAAGCATGAAGATATGGTCGGGGAGATTTTCTGATCCCGCTTGCTGCCGTGATGATGTAGTGTATTCCCAACGTAGCATCCAGGCGAATTTGGGTGTTTTTCCACCGGCGACATTCGAGGATCACTTCGTTACATGGGTTTAAGGTTCGGATCATGTACAGGGACACTGCTGCACCTCCATGTCTAGGATCCGTGTCTGCCTAAGGCAAAGCTTTCCGGTTTTCGTCCAGCTTTCAATCCGCGTGAAACACGAGGATGGGCAGCGCCCACCATTGCAATTGCTAGGCTGCTAGGCCTGATTTCGGCTCGTCACCGTGATGAGCGCAGAAAAGGACGGAATGCAAGTCCCAACTGCCGGTTTGGTCGTCCGAACTCCGAAGTCCGGCAATAGTACAATCTACGAGAATGTGCTGTCATAATATACAATGATATACACTATAAGATGTACTGTAATATATACTTTAACTGTAATAATAACATTAGAACATGTGCTGAATATATAATTTGTGCTATAATGTACTATACGAGGCAAAATTACGAGATAGTCTTCTTGCAGGAAAGAGCTCGAGGCCCGTTCGCGCGCAAGGAAGCCGTCTGAGGCCAGATGGGAGGCCCCGAACCGCTGTATTCAGAGGGTATAGGACTGGGGTTTCCGTTTTGGCAGCATTTTTGGTTCAGGGTTGGGGAGTAGTTTACCGTTCCGAAGGTCACCCTCTGCCAGCAATGACGAAACTACTGTGGGAGAGCCTGCGTGCCAACGTTGGTGTTCACACATGCCCGCGTTCGTGCACTTCACGCATGTATGGTTGGATAGGCAGAATGCTCAGACCGTTAGTGTGTCGCTGTTGATGAGAACGGGGATGGCGAAATGGACAAGGTGGGCAATCACGATGGATGCTGGTGATGGTGATGATGATGCCGTCGGATCCATGGTTATGCTGCTCCCCACTGTTGTGGCACCCATCGCGTCTGCCCAACATCCCCGCAGTGCTAGCCAGTAACAGCCCATGTTCAGATCACAGACCCAAACCATCCCAAACCTGTGAACTAGATTCCCTTCGAGTTTTTTAATCGTTTCAGATGTTGAAGCCATCGCCAACCTTCTCGGAAGGAGCGAGACGAAGGCCCACCGGTCAAGGCCTCACCCTCGCGTCTCTCCGCCGACGAACGCCGGGAGGGCCTGCTACTGGACAGATGGGAGCCTGCTTCAACTATATACTATACTATACTACACTGTACTATACTATACTTTTTATACTCTACTCTACTATACTATACTATACTATACTATGCTATGCTCTACCAGGCTAATAGTACCTGTAGGCCCTCAGCCTCTCAGAAGCCACGGCAAAAAAGGGGCGAGGCCGAGCTTCAGAGCCTGTACTATATTATGCCGTACTATAACCATAGGACCATAGGACCACGGAGAACTCAACGGGAAAGATCGATGGCTGTCGCTTTGAAAGCTCGGCCTCGGCCATTTTGCCGTGGTGTCTCCGTTTCAGTGGCAATCTCAGAACCGATTGTTGCATGGGTCTCGTTGCCATGTCAGTTCAGGGTGCTTAGTGCCCAATTCTCTTGTGGCTTCCTTCCTGAAGAAAAAGTCGTTGACGAAACCGATGTTGGACGACTGCTCGAATTTGCTTAACTTCAACAGGACTTGTTCCTGGAGCACTCCGTTGGTCGTCATGGCCGCATGACTTAAACCAGGATTCACAGGCTAGTTGCTTGGATGATGGGCGCGGTGATTTGAAGGAGTCCGGTCCGAGTTTTTGTTTTTGTCATGCACCAGTGGCTCTGCGCCTGTGGTGACAAACGGGGCGGATGGAGGTTGGGTTGAACAGAAACCAAGTCTGCACTCTTGCCGCAGTCCCCGTCGCGCTGGTCGCGCTTGAGACTTGAGATTGCATTCTTTTTGAAGATCTGGCCCTAGTTACACTCGGAGGTCCCTGGCCCAGGGCCGGCAAAATAACTAGGAAAGGCAAAGTACTGTTGTAGCAAAGCCTGGAAACAAACCCTGAGCCTGTGAGTGATACGTGTGGTCGCCGGCTTGTGTGATTGAGGTTTATGGTTTGATGCATATGTTTTCCCATAGGATTCTAGCAGGTTGGCGGGTCAAGACTTTCACCTGTCACATGTATTGATATTTACTGCAGCAATATGACAAGTGTAACATGGTCTCTCAGTTTTTTGGGTAGACCTTTCCAAACCTTAAAGTACCCAAAACCGTTGCCAAAACCCTGGCAAAAAATGCCCAAGCCTTAAACATCCTGAGGCGGCATGGAGTACGACATCCTCCTGACTTTCTTGCAGGAAGAGGGTTCATGTCTAGGGTAAAAAGGGGGTACCTTTTTTTCCGTCGCCTTGGACCCTCCGCAGCTTCTCAGACAGGGGGAGAGCCGCTCCTGGAGGGATTCCCTGCGAGGATGCGGGCTTCCTGCGTCGTGGCATCGCGGAGCATCACGTGAAGCAGTGGTGGGCGTGAGCCTGAGAGTCGGAGTTCGTGATTTTGCTCCGGCGCGTTCTTGTACAGATTCCGTCATTTCCGTCGTTGTTCTCTGGGCGCTAACAGCCGGCGCCGCTTGCCGTGTCGTTTCTTTTGTATTCGCATGTCATCGTGCGAAGCCCAAAGATGTGGAGCCAAGGCCAAGCCCGAACCCTGAAGCCCTCAGCTCCGAACCCGGCACATCCGGGCCGAAGAGCTGAGGAGGATCTGGTTCACAAGGTGGAGCATCGAGGGCGTGTCGGAGGCAGATCTGTGTAAAGTAAGTTGATGCGTTACGGCAGGTTTTTGGGTAGCAGTAGGAAGCCTAGCATAGCTTTACATGTAGCCTCGACTTGCAGCAGTTCTTGCAGAAGCGAATGCAGGGAGTACGAGGGCCACGTTTGCAGAGTTCTCCCAGGCGCCAGCACAGGGTATCAAGTGCTTGCTGCAGGATGTTGCGGTGTTGGCCAATATTGCTGTTTTCTCGGTGTTAGACCTTTAGTAGGATTGTTTGATGGCTTGGAGCATCGCGATGATGGCGATGAAGTCAAGGTTGTGAGGTAAGGCGAGGTTGATCACGAAGCTATGCTGCTGGGTGACGCTACATTTAAAAAAACATTGTGATCGCCATCGCCGCCGCGTCTTTTGAGAAGAGATGTCTTCTTGTCCGGGGTGGGGGCCTGCAAGCCACAGCCTTGTGAAAGCTTTGTCGCCGAAGTTATCGGTATCAAGGACTGCAGGTGTGAACTTACCTTGGAGCTCGTCCCTCACAGCGCTCCCTTATGGTTGCCCCTCTTAGTTGACTCTTGTTTGGCACCAAGATCCTGGAGTTGATTTCCACGAAGCTGGATTGCCCCGCGCCCGGCATGAGCTGTGTGTTTGCTTGGCGTGTAGTCGCAGACCTGTCTCGAAGCTGCCAGTAGTCGTCATACCGAGTCATACGAGTAGGTCTCAGTATGAGGAAGGGTGCTTGAGTAGAAAAGGGTGCCGGTACACCCTGCGGACTCTCACACCGTGTCGGAGCCCTTGGTTCATCCCTGCAGCTTCAAGCAGTCTGCGTGAGTCGGCAAAGGCCCCATCGAGGAGGTGGAGAAGCAGGTGGCAGCCCTGCACCGGTGAGACCTCAAAGAGGTCCTGCCTCTTCGATGTTCTGCTCTGCGGATTCGAACTTTGATGTGTTCAAGGGCTCAGGGTAGGATTCTCAGCTTCGAGTATGGTCGCTACATTGCTGCTACATGAAGCGCAGGGCTTTGTGGAAGTTCTGAGATGCCGAAAGTTGCTTCTCGTTGTCCGAAACGTGCTGAAAAAGCATCTGAGCCAAAGACACTTACTTGCTCAGGACGCGGGGTTGGGAGGGGATACATGTGGCCCCTTGGGGTGCGGGGCTCGTGCGGAACAGCTGGAATTGATAAGGCAGCAACCGTCCTACAGGTGCCCTAGGACAGGGTTCGCAAATGCCTAGTGACCTAGTAAGAATATCCCCTTACGGCATTACAGAAATCAAGAGCCTTGTTCTGATTCTGAAGGTGCTTTTTTTGCACCCACTCGGCTTTCCCAATGCAAAGTCTGCTCATTCCCGGCTGGCGAAGCCAGCTGGAAAGTCTGTCCAGATGAATCTCGGCATCAAGGAAAAGCGCTCTGGGGCGGAGGTTTTTCAGATTGGCATCGTAGCTTTCGAAGTCACGGAACATGGCCAGGCCCTCGTCAGAACTGCAAAGCATGACATCCTATTTGGCGCCGTCCAGTCCCAAAGGGAAAATGGCGTGGGACATGGAAGCAGGGTGACCGGCGGGGTCCACCCCCTGGGTCGCCGGATCTTTGGCCTATGTCTGCGGGGAGCCACAAGGTTGCATACCAAGCGGAAACAACCAATCCTTCTCCGAAAAGCAGGAGGAAAGATAGGGATGACCATGGGAGCTGCAGGTCGGGAGGAGCTGCTCCAGCGGCCATGGCAGCCGATGCTACGGACCACCTCGGCCGTACCACTCATGTGCTCTTTCACCTGTCTACGTTCGGACTTGACCCCCAGTAAGAATTTGAAGGCAGCTGACCTGGTGCCCAGTACCAAGATTCTCTGGCCCTTCTGCTTCTTCTTGATGGCTGTTGCTCGTGCTGTTGTTGTTTGTGTATTGGTGTCGTGTGCTTTTTTGTTGCTAAGAGGACAAATAGTGTTTCTACGGGTGCCGGACCGGCCTTTCTCTTTTCAAATGTTGAGCGAGCTGTCTTCTCTCCTTTACTGTATCTGAAAAGAATAAATTTCAACACGCCTTGGACCCTCCCTGCAGCCTACACCCTGAAAGGAGTCGGACGACAGCCCGAGTCCCGGTGCGAGCCGTCCTGTGAGCCGGACCGCCTCTGAGCGCAAGAAGAAGGCACCGAAGAAGAGGCCCGGCTATGCCTATAAGAAGGATGTTGCCAGCGCTGCATTGTCAGCACAGCTATAGCTGGACTACGAAAAGGTGTTTGTACTTGCACGCTCGCTGCGACTACGGCCGCGACAGCCCCTCCAACTGCCACGACTGCTCTGCTGCTGCTTTCTAGTGCGACGACGACTACCACTGCCACTGGCACTGCTTTCATACCCACCGCGACGACAGTCGCTCTGGCTTGGATTCTTCTTCCCCATTCCCTTCGCAAAAACTTGGAGGTTCCCGTTGATTCCAAGCATCGGGGTACTCACTCCCAGCATGCCAACAAGAAGTTGAAATTTCAAGTATCGTAGTCCCACTTGCTTGCACTTGGCAGGGTCGGCATCGGGAAAATTAGCGAGTGAATCCAGGAGCCCAGGCCCTGATAATAGGATCTCTGTCGTACTGGCTTCGCCTTCGTATCAACTCCTGACACATGCAAGGGTGTGATGTCCTTGTGTAAACTCGCAAGGCTAGCGGAGCCGGCGCGGCCGGCGAAGGCTTTTTTAGTTGCACACGCGTGTTTTAGGGGTAATGTCACGAAGAGATGCGTACCTGCGAATCATTGCACCATTTTCGACCGGGACATGATGACGGGATAGCTGTGGCGTGCTTGTGCAAGATGTCGCGTCTTTAACTAGTCTCGTCCTAGATACGGAATGTCACTGCATGGGGGAAGGCCTTCCTTGGAGCATGTTGTGGGACTGCAAGCTTCAAGTTCTGCGCTTACGATGAGGTTGTAGGGATTGTAGGGTGTTTAAAATCTGAAGAGACGCCCAGCGTCCCAGACATGCACCCGGAGGTTGCCCTGCTGGTTTGGAAGATTTCTTGCACCCTCCTGTCCCGAGCCGTGCCTGGGACCTGCGAAGGAGATCTCATTATCTTGGTGTCATGGAGCAGCAAAATAGGAGTAAAGACTTGGGTCGAAGCAACGGGCTCCCTCAGTTTCGGTGCATTACAGACGGAAGCACAGCTAAGGCAGGCTGATCCCCGGGTAGCATCATTAGGCGACTAAGCCGTGGTTGCTGTCCAATGTTTCGGGCCATCCCGCATACTTGTTTCGCAGGCTCCCATTTCGAGCAAGCATGAGATTGCCATCGGGCGAACATCGCAAATTTCACGACATCTCTTGCGAGTTCAGAACCCCAGATTTGCTTGCGCAACACTTCAGGCGACCTTGTTCAGTGGATGTCTTTGCATCACTTGATGTAGGCGCACTGGGGTCAGAGAGTGGGAGCGGCAATGGCCGAGGCTTGACACTGCAAGCTGATGATGATGATGATGATGATGATGATGTCGTTGTTGGTGATGGTGATGATAATGGTGAAGACGATGGCGACGATGCTGTTGACAATAAAGGTGTTCAGCGAAGGTCAAGGTGACTAAATGCGACAAGATGATGACGACGCTGATGATCATTAAGGTTGGGTTTTAGATTCTTCAGGTATCATTTGTGTATATATATATATATACATTTCTATAGATATACACACATATGTACGTACATGTACAGATATATATATATGTATGTATGTATGTATGTATGTATGTATGTATGTATGTATGTATGTACGTATGTATATACATTACATGCATGCATGCATGCATGTATGTTTGGCACAGATCGCGATGACCATGAACATTCATCAAATCACTGTTGCTGGCTGTTCATCCTTAGCGTCGCTCTGAAGGCGAAGCGGACGCAACGGAAGGCACTGCAGGAAGCGCTTGGGCGCTTGGCCGCCCAACACTTGTATCGCGGCAGCAATAGGGGAGACTTCACGTTGCCGCAGCCACCGGCAGCCCCTCAATACTTGTCTTTCTATCAGCAAGTATAGCAGATTGCATGATGCAGGTTACAAATTCCGTTGCATTGACGGGCGAAATTCACTTCCACCACCAGTCTCCCAGCTCCCACCCTTCAGATCCTCCTCCTCCTCCCCTCCTCTTATTCCTGCGCCTCCTCCCTGACATCGTCCTGGTGTTCGCCGCATCATCGCTGCCGTAGTGGTCGCTCACCCGTGGTCGCCGTCGTTGTCACCGCCGACGTCACTGCGATCATGATCCGCTTTGCTTCACGTGTCCTTCCCTGCCTCTTCTCAGCAGTGACTAGAATCACTACTGCCCTTTGCCACCAAAAGTATACACATATCTACACAGATCCCAAGAAATTTCAACATTCTGTTTGAGAGGGCTTGAGGAATGGGGCAAGCAGGAACTCCGAAATCTTGACCGCATCTGAGGGCAAGTGACAAGTGAGCAAGTAAACAAAAGCATTAACCCTAGGCCGCATCGAAGCCGTGCGGCTATAAGTGGTATCCTGAATGGCCTTACTCAAATCATGCAGCTCGAGGGTGAAGAAAGTTTTGGCGACCGTGGCACAGTGGGAGCGACATGCGCTGAAAAACTGCAACTGGCGCGGCGAGCTCCCTGGCTTAAGGCAGTTTGCTGAGAGCTTCCTGTGCAGGAGTCATTTGCTTCGGCCTGTGTGGAGCCCTCGCATCACCTGACCTGGCTCTGCCGAGGGGCGACGCCAAGCCGGCACAGACGAACTTGCACCTGGGTGTGGGCTGGTGGGAGCTGCCCGAGTTGGAGAACTATCCGGCCCCTCTGGCCGAATTCAAGGGTTGCTGTGAGCCTTGTTGCCCGTTATTCCCCTTGCAACTCACTGCCGAAATAGTTCCCGTTCCCGCCAGGTGCCAGATTGTAGATGGTAGGCTTGTTTGGGGTAAGTTAGTTTGGATTATGGGTTCAGGCCTGGGCTAGCAGGACGTGTTCGAATGGGGTCCCAAACCGGAATCCAATGAAACTCCTCTCCATCATTAAGCCTCAACCCACATCCAACCCTCGGAAGATGTCCTGGGCCGAAGG